TTTTTTTTTTTTTTTTTTTTTTACTGATTTTTGCTGCAATAACCCTCTTGTTTCAGTCACAGCAAGAAACAAAAACCCAAACAAACAGAAAACCCCTCTGAAAAGAGTAGAAAACAAAAGGTCTGACCAAAAAAAGGGGGGGAGGGGCTTGGTTTTGTTTTTAAATAGGACTGAAGATTAACATTGAAAAATCAGGAGATGATGTCCAACCCTTTTCGCAAGGCATGACCCTCCGGTATTTCCGCCTCTGTGGTTTGTTTTAAATTCCTTTTTCTCTTCTGGGTGCTGATACTTCTCTCCATCCTCACGTTCTTGGTGTTTTATTATGTTTTGTGTTTTTTTTGTTTGTTTGTTTAACTTTGTGTCACTACCTCAGTTTGCCCCCATGTCCCTTACACACAAGCAAAATATTCCTTCAGTGGAGCGAAGAGGTGGCGGATGACTGGCACGCTCCACGACCGGCCCAGAAGTCTCTGCCTGGCCAAGCGGCTCATGTTGGAGACGTCGGTATAGTGGACGGGGAAGCCAAACACCCTGGGGGAGAGAAGGCAGAGAGGGCGGGGTGAGGGCTGGCCTGGCCAGGGCCAGGGCGCCTGGAAGCCATCTGACTACACACCGGGACCAGGCGACCAGCAGTTGCCCCAAGTGCAAGGACAAGGTACACCCAACACACCCCCCCGACGCGTGCTTGGTTCTGCTGAGTCGCCTGTCCTTTACAACCAATTCAACACTTGGGTCACCGACCGTGTGCCAGGCATTGTGCTAGTTTCTGGGGATTTAAAGGTAGCAAGGTATTCACTGCCTAGAGATTTACAACCCAGCGGAAACAGAGTATCTCAAAATATCCTTCAAAAACACCTCCAGGACATGCTCCACAATTCCCCCCAATGGGGATTTCGATGCACAATGGAGATCTCGGTCTACATGTAATAAATATACACCCCTATTATCTTCCTGTACAAAATGAGAAAAACTAAAAAGGAGTTGAACTCTTGCCTGACTCTAGAAGTTGAAGGATTTCTTGTTTGCTCTAGTTGTTTGCCTAAGTGGTCTCTTTGTCTGGCTAAATCCTAGTTATACCCAGGGAATGAAAAGATAATCCAGCCTCATGAGTCCAGTTTACACCAAACCAGGGTCCTGAGGCTGTAAGGCCCACCTGCCTGGTCCCACGCTCTCTTGGTTTACAAAACACCTACAAAATTGACACCGCAAGTTAAGAAGGCTCCTGTAGCTGCAATGTTTCCTTGGGGTTCAGCAGGAAATCTGGGAGCCAAGGTATATGGATTGACTCCTGGACTTCTCTTACTCTGGAACCTTAAAATACACCGGGGCCTGGCTTGCCAGGAGTTGGCCATGTGGGGAAATGCTCTGTAAGACCCACTGCTCACGAGGTATTTGAGGAAAACAAGTCTGGTGAGGAAAGGCAGACAACCCTCCCACAAGCCCAGCGGATCAGAACAGTCCACACCACACCCATCCTGCCAGCACATCGCCCTGGCTACCTTTCCATTTCAGTGCACCATAAGATGTCCTCTTTCTCGTTCATGAAGACGGGGAAATGCTGGTCTTTGCCCTGCTTTATGGAGTTCGACCTAGTAGTAATGGTCCTCACTTTGCTGAACTAGAAGATGAAGAGGAGAAAAGAGGAATGAGCACAAATTCATTCAACCAACCAACCAACCGTGGTCACGTGCCTACCAAGCGTGCCAGGCGTGAGCCTCCGCAGTCCCCACAGCCCTGCTTTTCTTCCTACTCTGAGGTCACCTGGCCATCCTTAGTCCAATCTAGCTGGCCAAAGACTTGAGGCAGAAGCTCTAGCCACTATACTTCCTAAGTCTTTCGAAGAATTGGTACTTTCAGAGGTGGAGTACGTTGTAGGCTAAAGGATGCCAAATTACTCTGGGGCTCACAGATGCCACCTGGGGTGCGGGCAGTCCTAAGTGCTGGAACCTGCTGACACTCAATGCCCCCCGTACCCAATCCAGGAGATTTCAGCTCCAGAGAGAAATGGAGCTTCCACATCACAAGAGGCTGCTCTGCTCTGAAGGTTTCTGCAATAGGTCTACATCCAGGGATGGCAGGCAACGCTCATCAGGGAAGAAGGGCTGAAGGCCAGCAGTCCTGGGCTGTCCCCTGGCTGACTGGCTGCATGACCCTGCAGCATCTCCTAAACCACCTTCTCCACACTAGCAGTGCCCCCAGGGCCCCTGGAGGGGCAGGTGGGACACAGCCCTGCCCGTCCCCCCGCCCCAGCAGAGGCACTGGCGCTTGAGCTGACCTTGGCTATCCTGCCGTGCTCCAGACACTCCTGCAGCTCCAGCTTATCATTCACAGTGGACGCCAACGGCCTAGGAGGCAGAGGAGAGAACGTAACAGCGGAAACCTGGGGAACAGCAGGAAACCACCCAGAGGTGCTACCCCTGCTACAATCACACACGGACATCACAAACCTCTTCAAACTCCCCCCAAACACACCAACACACACTGCAGCCGTCCACAGACAAAAACCTACCAAGTGTTAATCCTTAAAGGTAAATTTAAAAATGGTCTCAAACCACCACAGGCAGATGATATCTACCCAGAAGAGAGAAAAAAGGCTCAACTATTTTTACATGAGTTATTTTAAAACATACTGAGTTTTAGGTGTCGTACCACAAAGCAAACTTTGGGGGTGACAGATTGTTCTGTCTTGATTTGCGGTGATAGTTTCACGGTGTGTATGTTGGATGAAATTCAAACTGTACACCTAAAACGCACAGTTCAAAAGACACATTCTGTACAATTCCATCAAGATTAAAGTTCTGTGACACTACATATGTCACTTCTCAGGGGGCAGACCAGACAATGGGAGATCACCTTCGGCGCTGACCTTTTCTGACATTTAAGAAAATTAAACAAGGTTTCCCAGAGCCCTGGCTCCAGGATCTCAGCATGGGGCCTGCAGTCAAACCAGGGACCTCCCCGTGTTTACGAGCACAGTCTACTCAGTCCTGTGTGGCACCTCTCCTCCTCCTAGAACCTTAGAATTCCAGTGTTTGAGTTAGAAGCAACAAGTGAGAACAATTCCACAGGACACTGAGTTAGTGGCTCCATGAAAACAACGGACCACATAAACCCACGCATTTTCCCAATATACGCGTGGTATCTTGGGAACTTTCGGGGGACACAGTTTCAGACCAGCTGCCCCAGTGACCCACCTCCTTCCCCCATCAACAAGCTCTCGCAAAAGATGGCAACTCTGCCAAATGGGTATGACACTGGAAAGGTCCCACAACCTCACGTGAATGGCAAGGAGGGAGATTATTTGACTGGGGCCAGGTGACAAGATGCTTCCTATTTACAGGTATACCAAAGAGGTTTAAAATCCATGACTCAAAACATTCTGGAAACTATCTCTCTCCAGAATCCATATCTAGATTAGGTGAACCCTCATTCTGCTTTTGAACTGCAAACTCTCGAACAGTTTCTTTTTCCTCAAAGGCCTTTTTACGATGCAATTATTACATCTGAGGAAATGAAACTGTATTCATTCCTGGATATTAAAATCTTGTTGTTGTTGAAACAGGGTCTTGCTCTGTCTGCTAGGCTGGAGCATGGTGGCATGATCACAGCTCACTGCAGCCTTGAACTCCTGGGTTCAAGTGATC